TAAATATACATCTTTATATATATTTATATATATAAATATATATATAAATCTATATAAAGAACTCAAAACTCTTAATACCGAAAAAACACATATCCTAATGAATAAATAGGCCAAAGAACTGAACAGACATTTCTCAGAAAATGATATACAATCAGTCAACAAATATATGAAAAAATATGCTCAACATCTCTGGCAGCTCTTTAAGGATTAAAAACAACAATAATTTTTCGCAAGGAAGTGGGGTAAAAAGGCACCTTCACACATTGCTGGTGGGACTGAAAATTGGTGCAGCCAATATGGAAAGCAGTATGGAGATTCCTTGGAAAACTCATAATGGAACCACCATTGGATCCAGGCATCCCACTCCTGGGTTTATACCCAAAGGCCTTAGAAGTAGCATACTACAACGATGCAGCCACATCAATGTTTACAGCAGCACAATTCACAATAGCTACATTGTGGAACCAACCTAGATATACCCTTCATTAGATAAATGGATGAAAAAAATGTGGCATATATACACAATGGAATATCACTCACCATTAAAGGAGAAAAAATTCATGGCATTTGCAAGTAAATGGATGAAGTTGAAGAATAAAATGCTGAGTGAAGTAAGCAGACCCTAAAAATCCAAATGTAGAATGTATTGTCTGATAAAAGGATGATGATTTATAATGGCGATGGGGTGGGGGGAGCATGGGAAAAATAGATGAGCTTTAGATAGGGAAAAGGGGAGAGAGGAGAAGGGAGGTTTAATGCTCAAAATCTGGAACCCCCAAAGACCACCAGGGACCAAGACCAATGTAAGCAGCAAAGAGGTGTCTATTTTGAGGTAGCTGGGGCCTCTGGGCGCACACAGCAACTGGTGACGCTGAGAGGCCCTGAGCCCAGGTTTGCAGCAGTTTTATACATTCTTTGGAGAAGGCAGGGACCCCCACATACATCATAGCATCTCTTAGCAAATCATTACACACTGCGGGAAAATCAAATAACAACTCTAAAACATGATTAGCACATTCACTGATGGGAACAAGTTGGGTATGATGATTGGTTACCACAAGAGGGGGATTCATTTGAACTGATTGGTTTATGCCAAAGGGGTGTTCCTGCTGAACTACATGGTTTCCCAATACCATAAACTACTGGGAGGGTCATCTGGCATCCCAGGTATTTCCAGCTGATTAACAGCTGATTGGTGGCTGTTAGGGAGTTGCTAGGGGTCCCCACCTAGCCTGACTGAGTCAGGGACATGTGGCCCAGCAGACCTCTCCTGTTATTTGTAGATAAACAACTTAGCAGGATGGGAATGTGCCTAAGAGTGCTCTGTGGGTTTTTCTAAAAACAAAGGTCATGTCCCTTTCTTGGACAGGCTTTGCTCTGAAGGGTAGAGCCTGGTTTTTCAAAAGCAGGAATAAAGAGCCGGCAAGACAGGAATAAAATAAATGGATTTATGACAACTAAGCTGTAGGGAATGATGTAATGTGAGGCATGTTGCATCAGAAAAGAGGAAAGAAAAGAAGAGCCCAGAGGAGGAGACCAGGGAGTGGGGAAAGAACAGGGAGGAGAAGTTTAGGGAAGAGAAAAACAGAAGATCAGGGAGGAGAAGGGTAGGGGAAAGAAAATCAGGAGGAGAAGGTTAGGGCAAA